AGCTTCGAATTCGGCTGTGCTCCCAGCGCATTGCTTGCACGTCTGCCAGACAATTTGGCCATGGGCCCGAACGTAGGCAAAGATGCCCTGCGGCGGCACCGTGAGTAACGCATGGTTCGCACTTGGGGAAGCACGCGGTAGCAAAAGCAGCCAGAAACATTGCAGGTGTGGGAGGTTCGGCAATTCACGGAGTAGCCAGTGCTCTTGGTCCTCCGGGCGATGATTAGCCCAAGTATGCCCAAGTTAGGACGAAATCTAGTGCCCGATTGGTGTCCAGAACCACAATACAGCGATGATCGGAGCGCAGGTCAGAGGCGGATGTTGTGGGTTTCGGTATGATCGGTATGTGTCGGATTGCCTCGCCCTGCAACATGACCCGGGTTGATCTTCCCCTCACCGACCCTAGCATTGCTGTAGATCGGATCCCGGCAGACTCATGTTCCAAAGATATGTTCCCACAAAGCAAAAAGTGTGGCAGGCCGTTGCCCCGTTATAAAATGACCTTATCTGAAACGACGACGCCATTTTCATACTAGTAAGGGGCTAACGTGCGAGCCACAGGCGTCCAAAGGCCGTGATAGTCAATCACGGCCTGCTGCTCCCTGATGACCGCAGCCGCCCAGCACCGTTTTATTCCCTAGGCGGAGGCAGCTGCTGCGTGCAGTGCCGGCGAAACCAGCTGAACAAATTTTTGTATTTTTTCGCGCACCTTTTTCGGCAGCACTGCAGAAACGTTCCAGTGTGAGCTGCGTGCTACAACTACTCCTACCGGCGGGGCCCGACGCAGTCGGCATCAGGCCGACAGCGCGCCTCAGCGAGGAGTTCGTGCAGCTCCGGCTCCGGCCGGCGGACGTGTGGATTCTTTTTCACATACCTCTTTGCGCCTGCCGAAGTGATTGGTCCTTGTCTCTTGCCAAAGCTGTACCCTCTCACTTACTCCGGCCCGCAAGCGGACCGCCCACCGTCGAAGCGTTTTTTTCCACCCAAACACACTTTTTTGCTGTTGACGCGGTCCCAGTGGGTTGGCGCCCAAATCCAAGGCCAGGCTACGAAAAGGCAGCAAGGCAGCAATGCATGTCAGGGCATGCGGCTGGCAAGGGGAGGTGGGGCCGATGGTTCGGCGAGAAGGTGGCTGAGAAGGGGGGGATCCCCGTCGACATTGGCTGCGCCGGAAAGCGGTAGGGAGAGGAGCCTGCTCGCGAAGGCACATGCAAACAGGGTGGACCACCGCAGCATGTAGGCAGAGATGCTCGCACTTTGCAGGGGTGGGGGAGCGGACAGGGCTCGGCAACGGGCAAGGAGCTGGAGGAAGGTAACAGCTTCCGCGCTCCACCTGCCGCCGGTTTCTATGCCAAGCACGACTAGGCAGCAGCGTCCGGAGTTGCAGAGTTCCGGGTAGGTGTGCTCCTTCGCCCGGCGAGCGTGGCGCAAGGGAGCACCGGCAGTGCGCCTGGCCTCACGCCGGGGCTCGACCTGTACACCCCCCCAGAGTGGCAAGCCGTTGGCGATAACCTCGATGCGGCGGTCGTCCTGTCGTGAGGGAGCGACATTGAAGTCCCGTACCAAGACGCTGGTGGCAACACTAGCACCAGCTTCACGGCAAACACGTGCTGCAGCACGCCGCTGTAACGTCAAACTTTGCAGCGACAGCGAGCAGCCCCGAGCAACCTGTATCAATGGCCGCCTGTACCAGGTGGGTCTGGTGGTGTTTGCGTCGGGCGGCGCCATCAGCATCTCGACCAGGGTGCACGCCTACTCCAGGTTGGGCCTCGCCCGCGCGCATCGCGGGACAGCTCGTTCGCGACAGCCGCGACAACTTCGATGCGGCCATTATCGGAGACCGGATCTTCACGGCCAGGCCTACCTCTCCCGAGCCGTCGCTGGCCCCTTCACACTTCCGGGTGTTGCTGTTTCGGCGCCTACCCCTGTGCATCCCTGTGCCGCTCACACCCGCATTATACTGTCGCTGCAGACGTCGCCGGGACGCCCTGGGGGATCACCTCGAGCTCCGGCTCGCTGGCGAGTGCAACCTCGCCGGAAAAGCAGCGGATCTGCACGAGGTTTTTGCTGATGTGCGCTGGCAGCTTCCGGGGTTAGGCAGCCGCCATGATGCCTCGCTTATGCTGTGGCATGAGCGCACCGTAGGACCAAGTAGGCACTGACGTTCGGGACCCCGGCTGCCGGAACAAGCTCGCAAACGAACAGTGTCGACAGCGAGCCGGACTCCTCCCCCACAGTGGGAGCGCGTTGGCGATAGCCTCCGTTCGCCATTTGCAACGACTATGGTCCTAGCTTCCTGCAAACCCGTGCGGCAGCTCGTTCCAAAGCATTCTGCTGCCGTAAAAAGGTGCGTGGGGAAAAAGAGGAATGCAAAAAAAAAGGAATGCTTCGGCCGCGGAGGAGTCCAGCGCGTGGGCAGGCTGCCCTGTGATCGCCACGTGGGTCGAGATGAGCACCACAACCGCAGATAGCCCTTGCTCAGCCTCTGCTCAGCGAGCGCGACCTGCGCGGCTTGCGCCCTGCCGCTTCAGCGAGCCGTCGCCCGCCCGCGGCGCCACCAGCGCACACCAGCGAAGCATTGTCGGCGCGGCCTTCCGCATCGCTCGCGCAAACAAGGAGCGCATGTACCCCGAGTTTATGCGTGCCCCGAACTGCCGCCTCGTCGTGCTCGCCATCGAGGTGGCAGGACGCTGGAGCGCAGAGGCAGTCCGCTTCGTCCGTTTCTTGTCCCACTGCCGAGCACGGTCCGCGCCTCCGCACCTTCGGGCCAGCAGCTGCAGCGACTACTTGCTTTCACAGCCGCCAGGTCCTTTGCAGGCTCGCTGTCGTCGCTGCTCCCCCAGGGCACCGGCCGCCGACAGTCCGCCAACGTTCATGGCCCCCTTCCCCAGGTAGTGGCTTGGTGTGACTACAATTTCTACCCGTGATGGGCTGCTGCATTGGGACCTTGCCGGGATGTGCGTAAATCGTGTGTGTTGGAAAAAGAAGCAGTCGGCCGTAACGGCAGATGGTGCCGCAACAACGGCGTGTGCACACCACAGCACCCGGGATGTGCGTGGACTGCGGTCATGTACCGAACGATGCCCCGCGGCTCCGTGCTCAGTCCGTGCTGTGCTGCGATTGATCAAATTTAGGTTGATTTGAAACATGGCCACGGCTGTGGTGGCCTTGTCGATGCATACGGTGACCACCATGCCGCCTGCCCCCGTACAGGCCTTCTTGCCCGCAGAGCCAAGCCCCTGGAGCACCCCTGGGTGCGCGTTGCTCGCGAGGCTGTCGGTCCTGAGGGCCAGGTCGTCCTGCAGCAATGGCTCGCACGCACGTCGGCCCCGGACGTCGATCCCGCCGATCGCCGTCGCCTCGACTTTGTGGCATATGGGGCTACCCCGCTCGGAGAAGCCTTGTGCTGCGACGTCACTTTCGTGTCCCCGCTGACACGCGACGGGCGCCCTCAACCTTCCGCCGCGACGCGTGACGGTGCCATGATCGCTGTCGCTGAGCGGCGCAAGCGCGCAGCGTACCCCGAGTTGCTGCGCCCGGGGCCCCAGCGCCTCTGCATCCTCGTGTGCGAGGCCGGCGGACGCTGGAGTTCCGAATCGCACCGCCTGGTCACGCAACTGGTGCGCCTTCGCGCCCAGCGCGCTCCTGCTGCCTGCTGCCCTGCGCGGTGCTGCTACCCAGGGCTGGCTGCGCCGCTGGTGGTGCCTGCTCAGTGTTGCTTTGCAAAGCACACTTGCTGCAACACTGCTCGGCACGCCCTACATCGCTGGGGCCATGCCTGGCTCTCAGCTCCCCACGCTCGGGGACGTCCTGCACGACGCAGCCTCCGCCACCCCGAGCTGCTCGCCGTAGTTTGCAGCGTGCACGGGGACCGGACTCTTTTGCGCAGTCGTAAAAGGTGCGTGCGGAAAAAAAACACTTGTAGAAATAGAGCCGAAAGCTCAAACCCAGAACCCAAACCCGTAAACCGTCTCCCTGGAAGAAAAGCCTCGTGGACCCTCAAGTTTGCAGCGTTAAACCGTCGTTGAATCTAGGTCGCACGACACAAAGTCTACAGCTTGAATCATAGAGCTGTAACGCTTTACATTTCAAAGCTTGAAGCTTGGCTTCGACTGAAACGTGTACCCTGCACCCGGATGCTTCGTCCTCGGAGCAGCGCCGGTGCTGGGTGTCGCGCCTTAAATGAAGTTATGGCCTGTAGTGGGGTCCACAGCACGTGACACCCAGCACCGACGCCCAGATTCATATGGGTCTGGCGCTGCTCCCAAGACGACAAAAGTTGGGGATTCCGGCGGTGGCAGGTGTATGGCATGTGTTTCGGTTCGGTCAGTGTGCCGTTCGTCAGGTTCCAGCCGCTCCTGTCGTGGTTGTGCCGCAGCACACGGGTTGGGTTATAAGGATGCGCAAGGCAAGTGCAGGTCAGTGGCGAAACGAAACAAGGGCCGCGCCGGGCGTCGCGATCACAAGCTCCAGTCGTCATGGGCCGCCCGGTGTTGGTGTGTGTGAGTGTGTGTGTGTGCACCAGACTACACGGCCGCCGCTGTGCAGGGCCTGCAGTGCATGCCAGTTTTGAAATGGTGCAGGGTTGGGGGCTGTCACGGTAGACTTCATTTCGCACACCTGAATTATGCTGTTGGAGATATCATTGGTTGGGGGATGTTCCGGAGGGTAGTGTTTTTCGTGCTGTGGCAAGAAAGATCAAAGGTCATGGTTCGCCAAGGTAAGACACATGCCATGATGACACAACTTTTTCAGTGCTCGTTGACCCATGCTTCAAGAGCAGTTATGACCAAACTTTTCCGCAGGCACATCAGTACACGGTAAATCATGGTTCGCACTTCCTGCGCATCCGATGGCCAAATGTGTTGGAGCCAGCTATCTCGGTGAAGGAGGTTGCCCTTACTGCCGACGCCATGAACAAAGCTCGTGTGCGGCCGCTGAGTTTGCATGTTTGGGCTTTTCGAGCGACTTCCATGTTCAAGGCAATGCTGGACGCTTTGATGGGCCCTGGCCGTGATCAGATCGAAAAGGCAGGGCACAGGGTTTTGTGTTTTGCATTTCGGCAGCGACAAAACGGAACCCGTCCTGAAGGAGGGCAAAGGAGTGAAAGAAAAGCGTCATTCTCGGAAGCTCTTGTGCATGCAGCGCGGTGAGGCAGTGCCAGTCATGACTTTTGTCCAGTGTGATCCAGGTTCAAAGATGACAGTGTGTGCAAGTCCTTTCTTGTTGGACTATGCCCACTTGATGTGCCACTCTCTTACCTACGGCACCGTGGAAGATATTCCGTGCTGATCCTTGCTGGGTGATGTCCACTAGCATGGCAGCCTTCTGCCAGGTCCATTCTCGGTGGGAAGCGCAAGTTCAAGGTGTGTGAGAAGCCTCCGTCTCGGCGAAGGGTGCACCATTGTAAGTGTTACGTTCTTGAAACAGCTTTGCGGCTTAGCAAGGATCCATTCTGAGTTGATGAAGGCCCGTGCGTGAGTGGCTGAGGATGACATAGTCCCATGCAGGCAATTACGAAACCAGGAATTCAAACTATGACATCTAGGTCTGTTGGCACAGACCCAATTTTGACCTGGCCCAATTTTGTTGTGTTCATATGCAACCTTGTATCCATGATCGAGAGGCGGGGCTGGTATCAGGTCAGGTGGTCCTTGTCGCGGCTGTTTCCGGCGGCATGTGAGTCAGCCTTTTGCCAGGACCAGCTCGCGAAGCATCCCGATGCAGAGGCTTAGGGCCGGTGAGGTTTGTGTTTTGCTTCATGGAAATGTATGGAAACTAATCCGGCGACGCTTGTTTGTGTCAGCAACTCAAGCGCGAGTACGAGAAGACACAGATGCGAGATTTGGACTTTGCTTCTCTCTCGGATCGTGTGTGGCGAATGCCCATGTGTATGTGTGTGTATGCTTCGACTGCCTGCTTCTCCAAGACTCACGTACGAGGTCATCCGGGAATGTGAAGCACATATTGTCGCACGCTTAGAAGTGAACCGGGGGTGGTCAGGTTTTTCTCCTTTTGCGAAGACGTTTTTGCTCTATAGGCTTCATACACCGTTTTGAAAGATGTTGCAGCAGCCAAGGCTTCGGAGAAAAATCGGATACGTGAGGCTCCAACAAGCGACTGAACTCATGTCGCCTTGGCTGTGGAGTTGTGGAAGTGCGAGAGTCCGATTCAGGATGTCCGACGAAAGAAGCCTCCCCTGCCGATCCAAGTGAATGACAAGCTCGAGACTCATGGCACAGCACAATGCCGACTGGCACGGTATGTATGCAGTCCATGTGCACGACCCATTGTGGACACCTTTTCTTATTTGTCAGTTTCTTTAGGCTGGCACAGATGAAGCGAGAAAGCTCTGCAACTGGCTTGGGATTGTAACGAATGCTTACGACTTACGATTTGCCAACCCTCCGCTGCTCTGATCTGGTGACACAGTGAGGCACTGATTCAACGTGCGGAAGCTTTGGATGATGACAAGGTTCGGGAGAAGGAAGAACTGATCCAACAGGCACGCGTAGCGAACATGCACGCAGGATAGGAAATTTTCTGCAGCAGCCTCAACGAGAGGCGAATGATGTCTTGAAAGAACGTGGTGGCCACAGACCCGCTAGGGAGCGACAGTTTCAAAGGTTGGAGCACCCGCGTCCCTTTCCACAGGCGAATCAGTTTTAGAAGAAGAGACCAAGAGCCGCGGCAGCAATCAGTTGAGTTTCATCAATAAGACATCGGAGCAGCGCACGGCACACGACGGACTGCTGTCATTGCTTTCAGGAAGGCCATTGCGGCGTTGCCTCCACAGGCCCAAAGCATGACGTAAGTGATCGGCTTCAATTTTTCCGACAACTGTTGCACCGCGGTGGCTGCAGGAAGTATGCGAGGCTGGTCAGCCTGCACTACCTGGACTTTCTTTCTCGGAGTGTGCATTCGTCGACTCCAAGTCTCATTCTCTCATGTGGTGCCCTTTCGCAACCAACTAGCTTTCCACAGAGGTTTATCATTCAAACTGCACGAGTCAAGAGTTATCATGAACCCTTCGGTTGGTCCGAACATCTCGAGCAGAAACTCCAAGCAACCACAAACAGGGAAGCTTTGCTGACTTTCTCATGGCTGCTGCAGTGCCCCGGTCATGGAGCCATGGAGCTTCACAAGGCGCACGACCAGCCCTTTGCGGTTCCGGTCACGCGGCGTTCCCCGGAATGGGGCTGGCTGGAATATCTACTCCATGCAAGTTGAACCTTGTCCTCATGGTACTCTGTGCTGCCGGTGCTTTCCTCTCCTCGGTGTTTTTTTCGTGCCTTAACGGATGCGGTTTTAGAGGCACGACGAGCGAGCGACCCCTGCCTGAAACTCAGAGCCTGCGTGAGGTAGCACCTACAGGCTACGGCTCCGTTCCGCATGGTCAGTGGCCAACAAACGCCTCAACGTGGAGTTCGAGTCTCGATGCAAAGGGCAACTTGGACTGTAGAAGACTTCGGCCTTCACAGACCTGGGCAGAAGTTAAGAGATCGTGCATTGGAGCGGAGTGCAACAGCTCAGGTTGCTGCAGCTCCACGCTTGGCTACCGGTTGCTGAGATTCCGTTTGGACAGACGGTGGAGGAGCACATGCCTGCACAGCTCTCCGTAAGAACCGCCTAGGGCCCCAGGGCCTTGAAAACTGCTGCAGAATCAAGAAGTTTTGCATCAGTCGGCTCGAGATGGACAGGGTTTTGAATTGACAATTGAAGACGTAGCAGCCGTAGTGGTGGCGGCAGCAGCAGCAGCAGCAAAGGCAACAGCAAAAGCAATGGCAGCAATAGCAATAGCCGTAGCGATAGCAAAAGCAATAGCAATGGCAGTGGGTAGTGGTAGTACCAGTAGTGCGGCGTATTGTCGTGTCTTAGTCGCAGAGTCGTCGTCGAAGTGGTTGTTGTAGTGGTGGTGGAAGGAGTAGGAGAATAGGAGGAGGAGTGGGGTCGGAGTGGGGGTAGAAGTCGGCGTAGGCACAACAGGTGTAGGCGTAGACGTTGGGGTTAGCGTAGCAGCAGTAGTAGTAGTAGTAGCAGCAGTAGTAGCAGCAGTAGTAGTGGCAGTAGTAGTAGCAGTAGTAGTAGTAGTAGCAGCAGCAGCAGTAGTAGTGGCAGCAGGAGAAGTAGGAGGAGTAGTAGTAGGAGGAGGAGTGGGAGTCGGAGTGAGTTGGAGCAGGAGTTGGAGCAGGAGTAGGAGTAGGAGTAGGGGTAGGGGTAGGGGTAGGGGTATAGGCATAGGTGTAGGGGCAGGGGTCTGAGTAGGAGTACGAGAAGGGGAAAGCAGGAGCAGCAGTAGGAGTAGGAGTGGTGGTGGTAGTAGTAGTAGTAGTAGTGGCAGCAGCAGTAGTCGTCGTGGTGGTGGCGCTAGAAGTAGTCGTCGTACTCGTAGTCGTCGTCGTAAGCAGAACTTCACCCCAGTCCACAGCAAAGGTTGGAGAATAGGTTATGGCCACAAAAGAGCCCGAAAAAAGGTTGCAGAAATGGCCGCCGAACTTATCCACCACTGGTATTTTGCACACCACGCATTCAGTAGGAGAACACTAGCCGCGTGTGTTCATCAGGACATCTGCAGAAACGGCTTCAAGGCTGGTCACACTGGCGTAGCTTGGTTTTCAAGGCTGGCGTGGTTTTGAGCGGGCTTCAGGCCGCACGGAGCTTGGCAGCTGTGTCCAATGCGTCTTGGGAGTGTCGCCGAGGTGTCGTTCCACGTTGGCAATCTGCAGCTTCCAAGGCGAAGTCACTTTCGAAGCTGGACGTAGATGCAGAGTCCATGTCTCCAAATCCTCACAGTGGCAGTCTCTACAGTGACGGTCGCGACCGGGGTGGCAACGACCGCGGCCACAATGTGAAGAGCCGCGGGAGGCTGGCAACTGAGATGCGCCTGAAACTGCGTGGAGCATCTTTGCAGAGATTTGTTCCGGATGTTGACGAAGTGGCGCACAGGTCTTTGCCTGCTGGGCGGCGCTTGTACGCAACTCGAACAGCATTTGCAGCGTCCACGAGCCATGTCTTCAGCTTGCTCGCTTGTGTGAAGGAGTTTCTGCTCTGTCGCCTGGGCGCTGGGCGCTCGTATCTCATTGACAATCCGTCGCATGCAGAACCTCTGAAGCAATTTTCGACAAGAACTGCCAAGACAGACGTTGGGGGAGCACCTGTTGCATGAATTGAAGGAAACATTGGCCTTGCCACCGGAGTACGACAGCTTCTTCACGCGGCACAGCCCTGCGAATGAGCAGGTGATACACGAAGAGTATCCAGGTGTTCTGCCCCGGCATGTTCTGCATCATGAGTACCTTGCCTCCTCCGGACAGATGATGACTTGTATGTTGCTCCGCATGGACGGAGATTTCGAACATAATCTTGTGAAGACTGAGTCAAGGTACATGGTCAGAGATCCTGCGCAGGTGGCTATGGGTAGGGCTATGGGTAGGGCGGTGTACAAGAGCAGCCACCCTGTACTGTACAAATCACATTGTCTGCCAGGCACTGCCTGTCTATTTGGTGCATTTCGAGTTCGATCCAGAAATGCCAGAGCTGCTCAATCTTCCCCTCTGTGACCACTGTGGTCTACAAGCGGCGATGGCCGCTTTCCTGACAGGAGCAACTGCCTTGGCTCTTGGCTCTGTGCGTTTGGCAGTCAAACTTGAGGTCTACTGCGAAGCAGATGATGCAATTTTTTGCAGACCCTGCGATGGCCGGATTCATTCGGCGAACAAGCTGGCTGCCCGTCACATCCGTGTTGACATCAATCGACGTCCCAATGCACCATTGGGAAGTTGTCCAGATCATGCAGGATCCGAGGCGGACATGTACTGCACAGATGCTGCCCTGCATTCGGCTTCCCCTTTTTGGCGAGAGCCGCGAGATGCAAATCTTGCAACCAAAAGTACCCAGGAATGCAAAGTTCCCGTGTGCCAGCATTGCCGCAAGCTTGGGAGCCACAGTGCAGGCTCGCAGGTCCTTGAGACTTGTTGAGTTGGCTTGGGAGATCATGCTTAGGTCATGTAGAGCCCTGCATGCTGCTTTACGGGATCTGTAGTACCCCACTTCGGCTCGCAGGAGAAGCCAAAAAGCACCGTCTCGTCAACCTCCGTGAAGCATATCAGCATGCGCTGAAGGCTGGCGGAAGCAGTTCTGGTCCTTCTGACTCGGCCCTCCAGCACTGTAGCTTGTGTCACTGGGAGGCAAGCACAGTTACGGCAAACAGCGTCCTGACAGATCGGCAGCGTGTGGAATCCCAGCAGGTCGCTGGCCAAAGCTGGATCAGCTGGATTCTCGTTGCCCCATTCTGCGGAAGATGTCGCTGCCCTGCAGGTTTCTGAACTGGATCGGCGTCTGGTTACTGTGCAGGAGTCCACCCAGGCTTTGGAGGATGGCATCTACGACCAAGTGCAGCCTCTTTGCCTGCAAAGTGCCTAAAGGCAGCCGGCAGTGGGCCCGGCGACTCGTGCCCGCTTCAGTCCTTCTGAGGCTTGCGGTCAAGCAGGGGCAGGCCTTAGCAGAAGAGCAGGCGCTGCTCCTCATGGCGGCAATCTGGCTAGACCAGCTGGATCTGAGTTGACCGTAGTACTGGATAGTACTGGTGTGTTGGGTTGGCCAAGGACGAGTTGGAAGCCAAACGGCAATTGGATCAGGCAGCATGGATGGAATCTCGGCGGGAGTAGCGGTTGATTTTTCGGAGCCTTTCGAGCGGCAGCAAGTCTTCCCTGAGTCTCGGAGTGGTTGAGAAGGATTCCTTCTTGGAGGAACATGTCAAGAACTTGCCGCCCCCTGACTTTCTGGAAGCGTGGCTGCAGCATGCCAAGGCCGCCAAGGGTTCAATGTGCCTATAATCTGGCCCTTCAGGGCCCAACGGCCCTCCCTCGCGTCGCGGGCGAAAGCCCAATCCCTTCGAGAGGGCCGTCGAATCTAGAATCTAGATGCCCGCTGACCGTGTATCATGAGACTCTCGAGGTTCACGGTTTTCTAGAACCAGTTCCTGTTTCGCTCGTTGCGTGGCCACGCTGAAGGTGTCATAGCAAGACTTGTTGCTCTGTTGCGGGCAGGGTTACAGGGATGAGCTTGATTGTGCTTGCAATTGCTTGCATGTTTGACCGCATCGCTTAGGCTGGTTGGTTGCCTTGTCGTGCACAGGTCAGGCAAGAGGTCAGCCAGCTAGGCCGGCTGCAGCTGCACTTGGGCTCCGGACACAGCCTGGCCTAGCAACTCACGACGGCTTTATAGTCCTGGACTGTCTCGTCAAGGGCCGCGCTGAGTTCTGACAGTTGGAGCTTGTGCAGGTCGGCTCACGGAGCCGCGAAGCAGCGCAACACTGCGCTTGGAAGGTGGCCTGCGGCTTGTAGCGGACACCGCAGAGGCAGATCCATGCTCCAGTCTTTCCGAAGATACGCTTCCCCGCGCAGAGCTCGCAAAGGCCACGTGGTCTCGAGCTGGAGATGCTCCAGGCGATTCCCCCTTCATTCGTGTGCAGTTTGAGCATGGCTGGAGCATGCAAGTTCTGCTCTGCTCGCTTGACTTAGCATGCGAAAAGCCTATAGCCAAGGTGGCGTTTCGAGTTCGACCACACGAGTTGCCGAGGGATCACAGACGCGAGCGAAATTCTTGCTCGATGGCTGAGGGCTTTTGGGGTCTAGTCTGAAGATAGGGTGTGTTCCTTGCCCAAACTTCCAGAGCTGCCGAAGGCAAACTCTGTCTGTGACAAGCTAAGCGGGGCACCGGTCCGCGAGCTGAGACGGTGCATGAGGGGGCGCGTGGACTGAAAAAGTCTGGGGTGCACACAATATTGCAAGACTGCGCGAGCTTCCGCGCTCGGGAAGACGCAAGACCATGCAACAGATGCAATGCAGACAGCCTTTGCTTGTGCCGAAAGGTGTGTGGCACAGTGTACGAAGGCGATGCTGGGAAAGCCGTACACGAAAAGACTCCTCCTTACATTCGGGCAGCATTGCGACAGTTTTTGTTGGCGTTGCTCCAGTTGTCCCCGTACCAGAGTTGTAGCATTTGCAGCCATCGCACAGCTCAAGCTTCCTCACTCAGGTTCCGCATACATGAGGCCTACACTATCGCGGCAAGCTGAGACAATGAGCCTCGCTTTGGCATGATCGACTATTTATTGATCCTGAAAGGTTCGGAAGCGCATGGATGAGGTACGGCCGCGAGTGGAGGAGTTTGCCGCTGAGCACCGTCTGCACTGATTGCCGGCTGGGCGGTGTGGAGTGTGTTCCCAAAGCGAGGTTGGAAAAAGCTGAGAAGGCTAAAAAGGGAGAGGAGGACGTCTCGCAGACCAGAGCTGATTAGTGCTGCATTGCTCGAGCTCAAAGCTGCAGGATGTCAAGAAGAAAGAGAAAGAAAACGGTGCGAGGGGGCATTATTATTGCTCAAGCTGATGATGTCACCGCGCATTGGGTCAGCTCTTTTGCAATGCCCTGCGGTGGAGTCGCCAGGTAAGCACGAGAGCAGAAGCAGAGCTAAGGACAAGGACACGTCCGGCCTGCTGGCATCGCCGTGCATGGTCACCGGCAGTGCTTTGGACGTTGCACTTCGACTGGGACAATCACCGCATATATATCTTGTCGCCTCAAGTTTCTAGATCAGATGTATCAGTGGTTGAGTTGTGTCTCGCGTTTCAAAAACTACACGTAGCTGACGTAGCTCCCGGAGTCCTAGAGCCGAGTCGCCTGCAGAGATGTTTTTTTCATGCTCGTCATCCGAGCACATGGCGGCTGAGCTTGCTTATTGGTGGCATGGCTCCGCCTGCGCGATATCTCCAGGTGCTTTGCTGGATTGCTGAACAACTGTGCAGGCCCAGACAGGAGCTTTCAGCCGTCAGGACCGGAGCTGTCCGGTCTTCGCGATGCAAGCCCTGCCGGACATTGCGAAAGACTGCCAATGTCACGACAGCGTGCCCTACTGCTTCGAGGACCGATTCTCAGGTTGAGCAAGACCCGAGGCAGCTGGAAAATGGCTGGTCATGGTTGACAAGGGCGAGAGACGGGCATGGGAATGCCCGGGATGTCTAGCTGACGTGTCAGCCAGGCATTGCCGCAAGACACGGGGCTGGTCCCCTCGCCAGTTTCTTTCGGCATGGGTAGGGTAGCAGCCCTGCACAGGTCCTGTTATTTGAGGTTCCGGTGGCCACCTTGATTCGTTCTGGGATCGGTGTTGCCAGGCCTCATTACTTTAGATTTCACGGTGTGCCAGCTAAGCTGGCGAGCTGGGTTCGCTGACCCCAGTGCCAGGGCCTGAGTTCAGGAACTGTCTTGACTAGCGGATCTTTTTGGGAGGACGGCCGGCAGATGTGCCATCGCTCTGATGGCAGATTGGACCTGCACTACTTCGCTGTGGCTCGGAATTTAGTCATGGCGTCGTGGTCCTGCAAGTATAATTCGGTCACTTGTGTTTTGTGGCAGCAAAGGTGGACTGCGAATCTTGCATTTGTGAAGAGTCCCAAGATGCTGGAAGCAGGAGCACATCCTTCGCAGGCAGCTGGGCTCCCCCTTGGTAAGAGGATTGATCAGGAATCAGTGACAGAGTTTGCTCTGGTTTTTGCCGTGACCCCAACCTTGCATGAGATGCACATTGCTTTCTTCGCTTCTTTTCAGGTCCTTCGGAGACTACCTGTTCGACGGCAGATGGTGCGCAGGAAGTGGTGCTTGCGCCTGACGCTTCAGGCATTGGCTCCGAAATGTCCTATCACTTCAAGCTGAGAAGCACATCCATCATCCAACACAATCCTTGAGGCAATTGCTTTTGCCCGGACGAGAGACCTCTATGTGTGCTCCTACCGGGTGAAGATCTTGGCTGTCTTGCAGGCAAGGGAGTGTGCGCTGCAGTCACCCTGGCCTCCATGGCTTTCTTGCAGTGGTCGTGACTGCTGTGACGTTCAAACATGGCTGGCAGGCCATGTGCAGCCAGAGGCTGCCTCAGCCGCAGCTTTTCGGGCAGGCACGAAAAAAGCCTAAGATACAATTGATGAACGACCAGTGGTGTTTTGCTTGACATGTATAGTCTGTGCTGCAGGATGTGCGGCTGACAGCTGCTCGTGCCGTGCGGCATGTCCATCTTTTGCTAGCCGCGGCTATGCCGACAGTGTTGGAGACTGCCATTGTCCTCCAGATTCGCCTTTGTGCTCTCCGGCTGAAGTAGACATCCCGGATCATAAGCATCTCCCAAGTGGATTCGAAGGGTTGCAGGCTTCGACACCTAATCAGCACAATGGGGCCAATTTGGTGCAGCGCCAGTCAGGTTACGAAGATGGGACGGCCGGCTGCCGATCTTCGACCGGCATGACCTCGTGGACCTACTTCTCAAGCACTTGTGGCGCTCCAGATGCAGTCCTTCGATGTCTTGGCATTTGCGATGTTTGAACACGCTCTTTCGAAGCAGAAGAAGAAGTCTCGGCTGGTCACGGCTCGGAGTTTTCTTGCAATTTATAGCTGGCACAAGTACTGCATGACTATGAGGAGTCAGGGGCAAAAAGACACGAAGTTTCGACACTTTCGGCATCATGGCATCAGACAGCCTTTGGCAAAAACACGCCAGTCAAACACTGCAGGTGCTCGATGCGAATGTGTGGAGCAGCTAGAAGGCCAGTGTGACCCCAGGACACCATACATGGACCACACGTCGTGCAGTGCAATGAGTGCTGGCTCGTCCTGCCAGTGGCCAGGAACTGCTTGGAGACGGCGGACTGCATCTTCTCGACTTGCAGGGACTGCGATGTCTGTAAGGGGATCACCAGGCGAAAGCATGCAAAAGCGGCCGTCGTCATAAGGCATATGTGTTTTCTATGCCGAGCAGGTGCCCGACAGCCCCTGGCGACGACAGCATCACTTTGCCGGATTGGAGTGGCAACTGCAGATGCAAAGACCAGCAGGCCGGAGACCCCCGAATACTCTCGCCTGCACCAGCGAAGCGACAGGTGTGCTATGAAGGCGGCAGCATCACTCCTGGATGTCCTGTGGCACCGGCTGGGCGCTCGCAATTTTCGTTTCAGATCAGCTGCATCGATTGCACCCTCGCCTCATTTAGAGCAGGCTCTTCATTTGCAACAGCAAGGCATACGTACCTGTCGGATATATTGATATATGGGCTTACTGTAGCATGGCTGTTGCGGCAATTTCGGGGCACCCGACAGCCTCCAGCACAGCTGAGGCATCTGTGACAAGCTGACATCATCTCCCGGCTCCGGCAACGTGAAATGTCCAAGGTTTGCACGTGAGAATCTCCCTGGCTGGTCTGGCGACTGTGTGTGTCCGGATGACATGCCGGATTGCCACTCGGTTAACAGCTGGCATGGCGACTCACGGCGGCATGAGCTAACCGACTTCATCGGATTTGCAAAGTCTTTGCCAATGCATGTCCAGCTTTCCTGGAGTTGCCTTCTGAGCGCTCTGGAAGGTTACCAGAATGGCATCCGGTGGTGCTCCAGGCATCAGGGCGCTCGTGCAACTTCTTGCACTTACAAGTCCATGCAGTGTGGCCGTTAAAGGACAGACGGCCAGCGCGATCTCCACTATTTCGACCCGGGTTGCCTGGACTGCGAATGCCGAGCAGCCCTCACTTTGAACTCGACTGAAGAGGCCATCCAGGAAGCAGTGAGTCTCCGAGCAGGCTGGGGCTCGTTTGCCACACAAGCGCAGGTGAAGCCCTGCCCAGACTTTGCGAAGTTCAGCTCCTCAAACACGCACCTTTTCAGCATTCCGCCAAACCGGAAAGGCTTGAGCGAATGCCCGTCCAATCCAGTGTTGTTTCTGTTGCAGACGTCCATGGTGACCGTCTGAGGTTCCAAAACTGCATTTGCCCGGACAGCCGTCCGATCTGCGTGCAGTCGGACGGCACGGTGGCTGAAGGACGATCTGGACCATATTGTCAAACTGCACAGGCGCGGTCTTGGCCCTCGCTACGACTGGTTCACTGGTCTCACTGCCTGCACGTGCAGGGCTGGGATTCCTCAACGGAGTTTCGTCATGACTGTGCGACGTGCTCGTGCATGGAAAGCGACGGAGAAGGCTCTAACCTGCCGGATTTCCTCGCAGAGGCTGGCAGTGATTGGTTCAAAGATCAAAGCTGTCGGCCTCCCTTACAGACTCCTGACGTGAGTTTGTTTTTGCTTGAAGCGCCTCCGTCTTGCAGCTTGCAGAGGAGCAACGAAGTGCGGATGGTGTCACGTACATCCGCCTGGATCTGGTTCTGGATCTCCGCCTGGCTTCCTGGCCCGCTTTGGTGGCTGTGGATCCATACTGCTTCCTACTGTTTCGGGGTCTTGAAACGATTTGGCAGATGTCGTAGTGTCGTGGGCTAAAGGTGAATTCCCTCAACTCCTTGAACCAATGGGACTTGGTGATTGACGGAGTTTTGCTGACGGATGCGGCCAGGCCCCAGCAGCGTGTTGTTCGCAAGAGTTTGCGTGCGGCGCGCCTGTTTAGCATCTCTATAGGGGAGTTTCCGAAAATGGGGGTACCTACTATTTATTAGGATCCCCTATTGTCGGAGACTCCCATAGGATCCCCAGTGCAAGGCTAGACTCAGACTGTCAAAATGTCGTGAAGGCAAGCTCTTGCCGTGTCTGCAGCTTATGGCCTGTCGCGGCCAGCGGCACCAGTCGTAGGCTTCTTGTTTGCATCGGGGCGAGCACGCGTAATCTCCAGATCGATGTGTCCACGAACTTCGAGCGGGACCAGTCATTTCTTCTGTCGGGCTGGCTCAGGTTATTGCTGGGGGTTGACTGACGTCCAGGGCAGGACCGCATGAATCTTGTTTCTCTTTGCCATGTGTTCTTGCCTGGCATTGTCCCGGCGTTGTCAGGACGATTGACGGCGGAGACTTCGAAGATGTGCGCGTGCAACGCTTGTACGCCGAACTTGGTGTCATGTGGGCGTATGCTCTCGAGATCAGTGCCAACGGCACAGGCTTGGTCAAGCTTTGCGCGATCTCTCAAATTCTCAGGGGTTCACTGCTGCGTGTGTTCTGCAAGGCCGGCTGCTCGAGGAAGGACACCTGCCGGCCTGCTTCCCAGAGCCGTCATTGAGGATGGGCCCAAGACACAGGCTCAGGGCCCCGCTTCAGGCCTTCCGCATCCTGCAAAGCCTTCGCGCCAAGTCGCTGAATGAGCTAACGATCCACGAGCGCGAGCTGCTGTTGCAGTTTGGCGGCAGAGAATTCAGCTAAAATGTCCAACGATACGTTGAATTAAGGAGTTTGGAGACTTCTTTTCGTCCTGGGCGCTTCAAGCAGCACTTGGATTTCGAACTTCAGCGGCTGCTCAACGAGACGGCGAGTTGGCACCCAACTCCAGGCAATGTGGATCTAAGTCCTTAATGGCAAAGGTGTGTGTGCATACCACGACGACTTCTTTTTGCGCAGGTGCGATTCAGGCACCGCGCATATCTGTGAGCAGGGCCACAGCCACAGCATCCTCGGATTTGTCAGCGATCCCAGCACTGTCGCTTGTGGGGCCCCTCGCTCCAGCTGCTCCAAGCAGACGGGATCTGAGGGCGCCTTAGTTTAGATGGTCTTTCAAACTGCTTGTAAACGGCAGCATGCGCAGTGCGCACAGGTGCCTGTTGACACCGTGCAGACAACAGCGATGCCAGAAACGGAGGGGGAAGCTGATGCAGCCAGTGAGTTTGACTTGCTGTCACTTCTTCCGATGGGAATCGCAATTGTCTCATCACTGGTTGGCCTTGTCTCCTTGTACTGCTTGGTGAAGTGGATACGCCGCTGCCTGCGCCGGCGACGTGAACGACGTGCCGAGCAGGATGCAGATGGTGGCTCTGGCTCACCGAGGTCGCCGAAGGGTTCGCCACGCTCACCGCGGTCACCAAAGAACCCCAGCTCTCCAAGACACGCAGCTTCTCAAGATGCCATGACAGCAACCTCCAGCGGTAACACCGCAAAAGTGAAGCGCGCAGGCACGGCCTCCACAGATTTGCGCAAGGGCACGTCGTCAGTGTTTGACAAGCCGAAGCGTGAGGATGCGGGGATGTCCCTGGCTGATCGGCAAAGAACCGGTCAAAAAACCGTGAGTGCAGCTGCAAAAACGGTTGTGGGTGCAGCTCTGGAGACAGATGGCGACGATGGCAGTCCAAGGCAGAAGAAGGGCTTGATGGGGCGCTTCCGAAGAGGCAAAGACAAGGGAGCAAGTCCAAGTCAATCCCCTCGAGGCGGTTCTCCGAGGTCTCCCCGATCTCCAAGATAGCTTTGGCGCAGTCTCCTTGCATCTCCTGGCTCTAGCTCTGTAGGGTTTAGTTAATGACTGGCCGATCAGGTAGGAGTCGACTTTCGGCTTCTTTCTGCACAAATGTGCCTTGTTAGTGTCCTGGCCCGCCTTGCAGCCAAGCTGCCTCAAGACTGGGGCGACATACACAACGCATTCGCGCGGAAAATGCATAGCTCCTGCAGTGATGGGGAAGTCGTACAGCAGGTATCTTCGCTCGGACATGACGTGGCGAGGACCGGGGAAAGGATCGCTCGAGGCGCAGAGAATGCAGAAGTTTCGACCTTACTGTTCAAGGTATCGGTGTCGCTGGGCTTTCGGTGTCTCGAGCACCGCACCAAAATATTCTCAGGCCGCTCACGTGATCGTGAACCTAGCCGAAGGCCAGCTCCCATGTCCTAAGGTCCTATGTTCACACGAGAGAGTTGGGTATGATCTGTATCTGATGCAAGGAGACGTCGCGAGAGCAAAAGTTACAGCCGGGGTGTGGCTCTGAGATTGCGAACGGACCCCGTACAGGAGATGAGTGTCGGTCTTGTAAACGTTCATCTCTGCACTCTGCGCATCTCGGATCTTAGCTGCATGCTTTTTCCGCGTCTTATGGCGCATCTTGGGCCGTGCTGCCCCTTGAGTTGTCAGGGCCTCATCTGTGCTCATCTGCTTCTATCATGTCCGCGGGAGCGGGAGCGGCCTGCACTGCCCTGTATGGACGTGATAGCATGTTGTCGTTATTCCAGCAGGGCAGCATCCGGGCTGCATCATTCCTTCAGGCTGGGGGTTCTTTGGTGCAGACCCGCACAAGAGGCCCTGCGCTGCAGTTCACAAAATTTTCCCAGGTTGCAGCATGAATTGGTCTCCTTTGCTCCTCATTGTGCAGTGGAGGATGTCCTCGCCCAGCTCTGTCTTGATTTTCTTGCACGGCAGCGGAGACACCGGCGAGGGTGTCCAGGACCCGCTTGATTAAAGGCAGGCCGACACAAGAGGGAAGCTGGCGGTCTGACAGGGCTGGCTGCATGCCATCAGTGGTGGAGCTTTCGAGTCTGATGCTCATCATGTTGCAGACTGGCGGTAGGATTGGAGACTGCTGCGCTCGTTTTCCGAGGGCCACCCTGGCACGAGAAGGCATCGCAATGCAGTTCCCAACGGCCACAAGAATACCTTACAGAGACTTGGACGACAAGGATCATTGCGATAGCATACCTGTTTTTTGTCACGAGCCGCCCCAAGGCTTGATCGGTGGAATGCCGCAGACTGTGTGGTTTCGGGCACAGCACCAGCTCTCATCGTTATAACTCAATACTGATAGAACTTCCTTCCTCTCCGGTGCTGCCGGCACCGGGTCTGTCTAGACCGTACTGGTAGTACAGTCTGAGGTTTGACCGCGTAGCTATGGCGTACGAAGCGCCAGAAGATGTGCCTGGCCTGAAGAGGCGCATCGGTGCTTGGAGTCTTTGTTGTATTCTGTTGTGTGCGTCAGCCAATCCAGAGGAAGACAGAGAGATGCAACAGCTAGTGGCTCTGCATGGCACGGAGCACTGGAAGGAGAACCTTGAGGAACTCCGGGAAGTAAACCTCCTTTTGCACAGCAGTCCTACCGGAAGCCGGTAGCACCAAGCCGTTTAGGAACCAACCCAATGAATTGGAAGAGGACAGTGCGAATGCGGAGGTTTGCGCATGCACACCGAGCAACAAAGGGAGCAACCGAACTGCCACGAACGACTTGTCAGGTCAGTGGAGCTTGTTGACAAAGAGATCGCTACTTGCTTGCGAAGCAACGACCTTTTGTTGGCCCTTTCAGACAAGCAGCTAAGGACAAGCTTGTGGAATCGGGCGTTCCGTTGTCCAAGATAGGCTTCCAGCTCGTTTCGTGTGATGATGCAGAGTGTCGCTGCAGGGTTTATTCTGCACGTCACAGGGGTCGGTGGTATGTCAATGGGTGGCTGCTTAGTGGACCACTCATCTTTGTGCACATTCGATGTGGCAGCTTGCAAGCCAAGCTGAGATTTTGCGATTGAGTGTGCCCAGGCGTTGCATGTAGCCTATGGCATGGGACGTTATGCAGGAAGGTCCGGAAGCCATGTTGACACTGTGTCGTCTGACAGCTCCTGCTGCAACCAGGCTGGGCATGGTAGCAAGTTTAAGCACCTTCTTGCCCAAAGACAGCTGTGCGGCGCAGAGATTCGCATAGAGAAATCGGTTCCGGCCTCAGTTGCCACATGGGGCGAAGTGCTCCAGGCCTGGACGCAGAAGCAGCTCGTCGCTTCGCCGCCTCCTCCTCGCCTCCGCTCTTCATGGCACACGGTCCCACGCCGCCGACAGACTGCGCATGTGAAGTCGCTCTGACTCGAATCGCGGTTTGCATGTGTAAGGCCAAGCGGACGGTGCGAGCCTGAAAGTTACAATTGTTGGCACTCCTTACGACACTGGACATAGGTGTCAGACACGAGATTCAGGAGCTAACTGCTGGCAAGGCATGATTCGGCTGGAATGGGCGCGGGCCACTCACAGGCGTCTTCTCGCTGCAGGCATCACAAGTAAGGACCCTGTGGCGACAGTCAGGGATTCAGCATGCTGCATGCTGGCCGGTAGAAGGGCTTCCCGAGTGCATGTTAAGGCAGATACCGGCAACTATCACAGTGTCACGACGTTAGCGAATTCGGGTGGCCAATAAAGTTGTGCGCAGGAGAACATGAACGACGAACCGCAGCCACGAAAAAGAAAAAACAGCGCGAAATGAAGAGCGCAAGCCGCAAGCCGGCGTCATGACGTCCCACTAAACGAGACGAGCGGGAAGGACAACAGAAGCCAGCAATCAGGACGGACGAACCGCGAAAGGGGGTTGAAAGAGCACCTTGTTTCAACAGAGGCAGTGTGCTGTCGTCAGTGTGAACAGTGGTTTGGTGGACCTGACGTTTTTTTAGCAGTTCTAACGCAGTGTAGGTCGTTTGTTTTGAATGTAGAATAGTCTGGAGACTCCGACATGTGTAAGCCTGGGCCGAGGCCGGTGCTTGTATGAACTTTTGGCGCCCATGCCAGTGAATGGTTGGTGTATTTAGCTCCAGGATATGCTTACATGTCGGTGGGCGCATGTTTTTAACTTTGCACCGTGTCGGCATGTGGCGGCTGTGGTTTCACCGAGCCGCTCCTCGAGTGAGCATCCCGGATCCCACCTTGGCGAGAGACTCTGTGCCCGCAGCTCCTGGTGGAGGAGCTCCTGGAATTTCCGGATGTGCAGCACGAGCTGTGTGCCGAAGAGGCACTGCTCCAAGGCCCAGGACTGCGCTTCGACCGGCTCTAAGCGACAGGTCGGACTGCTGCGGAGCTTCGTGCTGGAGCACCTGAGCAAGACGTGAACGATTTCAGTAGGCATCTAGTTGTAGCGGTGCTGAGGCGCACATGTAGCTCTCAGAGATGAGGGTGCAAGACGGCCAAACGATGCCACCAGCTGCCACCTCCTCTCGAAGTTTTTTGCGAGTTCTTGCGATGCAGTGACACTCGGACACCACGCAGTAAGATGCTGCATGCCACCTGGTGCTCTGCAACCGGAACGAGAAAAAGTCAGAGTATGAATCGCTGAGACTGCCGCGGGCCGCAGTCCGAAGCATGTGGTCTCACGATGCCTCTTCTGCTCTCTCTCTCTCTCTCTCTGTCTGTCTGTCTCTGTCCATCCAACATTTACTGAATTTACTGTCGATCCATGGGCCACCGAGGACGGCGGCGAAGGAGGTAGAGGAACATAGCATCAGGCTACCGTGGCGTGCTGAAGGGGTTGCCTGAATACATCAGCGCATTCTGCCGCGGACTTTATCTGGAAGCATCTCTGCTGCGCAGGTCTGGTTGTGATAGTGATTGCCGAGAAGTGCCGCATCTGACAGAGCTTGCAACCGCAGCTCGGCTTTCGGAACTGCAGGCAGCTCGTAGCAACAGAATGCAGGAGCCTGCAATGTTGGCCGCGTGACGCTTTCAGTGCACGAAGGGTGTCTCTATGATTCGTCACCTGTGTAGGGTTATGACGAGTTTCATGAAGAGAAAGTGAGTAAGCGAAGCTCCTTCAGCTCTGTGGCAGTTTGGGCCTGGCCCTCAAAGACTCAGCCAAGTGGAAACAGATGGAAAGAGGGAGAAAATTTGGAGAAAGCTGGTCGTTTGCCGCGCTCTGCTCTAGCTTGTAATTCAGGGCCGCTGCGCTCCTGCACATGTGTTTGCCTTGTCGTTTCATCCCACAGCTCTCGTCGGACACACCAAGAACGGCCACGCGGTACTTGTGTGGGCAGAGTTGGACAGCAGGTCTTTGCAGAGCCGCACAGCACATGGACCGTGCTTCTTTCCTTCTAAACTATAAACCACCAAGACCTCCGAAACCGATGCATGCCTCACCATGTCGGAGGTCACGGCATGAAGTTTTGAAAGCTGCACAGCTTAGAAGTTCGTACCAGCGATATAGGCAACAGGTGGATTCTGGATGTGACCAGATGTCATGCCGTGTGCTGTTGCATCACCGGTGCTGAACAACATGAAACGTTAGCCGTCGGAGCACCCCATCATGGCTACTTTGATGCTACGCATGTAGGGTCCTGCAGTTGCATGCGCGTTGGTCTCCGTCGTTGGCTGTCTGTGCAGACTCAAGCCGTAAAAGTCTTGGGCTGGCCTGGATTGTTTGTCGAACAGTATTCGACACTCTTCAGGAAGTCAGCCTGCAGCGTGCAGAATGTCATTCCTGTCACTGGAGCCAAGGGTAAGCTTCTAGAGCTCAGACTTAGCATGTCTCTGCTACTTCCCGAAAACACTAGCTTATAAGCTGTGCTCGCCGAAAATGTTGCCATGGCCGCTTGAATCGAACGATGTCGCTGTTGAGAGCGGTGCAGAGAGTGCAAAATGCCGCTGCAAAGCCCAGCATCTGGCCCAGAATTCTGATTCCAAACGGCTCCCAAGGACTGTTTGCGTGAGCTCTGCTGAGGTGGCCTGTGCCAACAGTACTTGCAGGCCTATGCAGAGCACAAGGGGACTTTCAGCTGCACGGTTGGAACCTGTAGTGGTGTGATCCTTTCGGCCGATGTTTTCTGAGGACTCCATCCCTCGGTGAGATTGCTGTCGTTCTGGATCACCTGCGCAAGGCAGCTGGGATCTATCACCGCCTGTTGCTATTTCTTTGACTGGGTACAAGGACCGGCAAAACCTCCTGAAGGAGACGAAGGATCGGAGAAGCACAGCCAGGTCACAAAAAGCATTGCGCAGCTGGGTGGTGGAGTGCGAGAACCACGAAGGCCACTCACACGGTTTCGCTTGTCATTGAACGGGCCTGCAGGTGCAGATGGCCTTAGCATCACTCGTAGCTGTCTTCGTTCCGCTCGCGATGTGGCAGAGAAGCCGCAGCCAGCAGATGCATCATGATGCGTCCAGATGCTGTTTTGTGCCTCAAGACGCAGAAACAAGCGGTGCCAAACAAGTCTGCAGAATGCAGGCTATGCGAAGCTTCGGGACCACATTTTCGAGCAAGGGGAGGAGCTCTCGGGCACTTCTCCGTCGCTCCTCTCGCGAATCTACAACAACATCCGAAGGCCAAGTTCACTGCACAAAGACATGACTGCGTCACCGACGTTCTGCCAGGATTAACATGCATGGCGATGCCGAGCGCTTATGGCCTTTCGTCGACAAACAAATCGCTAAAGGCCAGGTTTTTCCAGACTTGTTTCAGATGTCCTTGCGTCTCATTGCGCGCGGTAGGCAAGATGGAGATGCCGGACCTGCTCCGAGTCTGGAGTGCGGTGCCACGGGACAAGCTGCATGCTCTCGACTCCAAACTTGCCAAGGCCCTGTTCTGTCCTGCCTCTCCACATGTTTGGACAGCCAGATCTTTGCCAGGCGCTGCGGTCTGCCCCAAAGGTGGATGAGATGCCACTGCAGTCAGCCTTTCTGCAGCAAAAACTCATGACTCATTGTAGACCGAATATGGATGTGAACTCTTTGATCGTGAAGAAGAGTGGCGATCCAGGCTTTGTCTCGCGCGGAGGAGCTGGCCTCAAACTCGCAGGTGCTGCAGGTCTCTGCAAGGTTGGCGGCCAAGCGGCTGGAGGCCTTCGCGAGTAACTCATGCAGTTTGAGCCTTCATTCTCAAAGTTGGACGGGTCTTGAGTCGATTGCCATCTGACCGACGGATTCAATTGATTCAACACAGACGACGGCAGTAGAAGCTGAGCCAGAGATCCCTCTATGCCAGGACTTCACTTCGGAAAGCTTGTCAAAACTTCTACCGCTCCTGCACAAGGCTCTGCAGAAGGCGGGTGCCATCTTGAAGCCTGCAGAAAGCAGGTGTTGGAGTTGATTTGTGAGGATTTCTGTCCATATGGATCTACACCATGTACGAAGGAACATTAATCCGCACATACGCATGGAACACGAAGTAATCCATCTATGTACAATTGTGCGGGTAGATGTGTGTGTGTGTGTGTGTGCACGCGTGTACGCATGCGTGTGCACGCGGAAGCCTTCTTTTGGCAAGTGTACATGACGCGCAATCTGCAGGTGTGTAATTGATGTATGATGGGGTACACGCGTGCACACGGCAGGAAACATGAATGATCGCGCGTCTCCAAGAAAGCTCGCTCTCTCGCTCTCTCGCTCTCTCGCTCTCTATCTCTCTCTCTCTCCCTCGCTCTCTCTCTCTCTCTCTCCTCTCTCTCTCTCTCTCTCTCTCTCTCTCTCTCTCTCTCTCTCTCTCTCTCTCTCTCTCTCTCTCTCTCTCTCTCTCTCTCTCTCTCTCTCTCTCTCTCTCTCTCTCTCTCTCTCTCTCTCTCTCTCTCTCTCTCTCTCTCTCTCTCTCTCTCTCTCTTTGCAAGGGTGCGTGCAGATGCCAGGGCGCCCAGTTCGACCCGATTGTCTTGACGCATCTGAAGCAAGAGCTTGTCAAGCGAGGTGCTTTGCAGAGATGCTGTTTAATCCCACGGCGTGCTGCGAATGCAATTTTAGCACATGTGCTTGACTTTGATGATCCGGTAGCTCGTCTTGCCGCCGCAGGTGGGACCTTGGAGACACCTGCGATATGTGCCCTCTTGCCCGTCATTGACACCGTCGAAGACGACCTGTGGAAACTCCTCAGGCCAAAGAGCACTCGTCGTCGTGGCTGTTCGGACGTGTTCCGCAACTTTAGTGTCATGCTTGTCCGGTGTGGTGAAGCGAGTGAACCGATCGACAGCAGGGGCCAATTGGAGACCAAAGGCCGAGATCTGTCGTGTCCTGCTTAATTTTGCAAGCAGTGCTTGGAATTAGCGGCCGGACAAGGCACTCACTTATGGCATGTTGAAGTGTGGGTGTTGTGCACTAAGGTTGCAGAATATCCTGGATCTGCTGGAATTCCTTCGTCGAGCTTCTGCGAGCAGGAAGAAAGGTGCTACACGACATGTTGCGCTGGGCAAAGATTTTGCAAGTGCACCAGACAGACGGCTGCCAAGCTTGCTGGTTATCGCAGCCTCCTTCCGATACCGCCAGGTGAACAACGGCTCACTGGCTTCCTGGTACTGAGAATGAAGTCGATCTTGTCGACCGGCTTTCCCGATCCACAGCAAGTGGCTGCAGTCACCAGGCCGGAAGCGATTCACAGTGGACGTCGCTCTCTACTTCTTGTCTTTGAAAGAAAGCTCTTTGGAATGTACCGTTCATGTTTATTCAGTGAACCCTGGTCGCAGGAGACTGGAGGTCGTGTCTTCCTATGAACCGATCTGTATGGCTCTGTTGAATGCGGGCATCAACATGCGTCAGGCTGTGCTGCTTTACCAAGCCTCTACTCAGCTTTGGCCGATGTTGATCTGCTGCTTTTTGTGGAGGACCTGTACCCCGCGGTGCTGTGGAACTTGTTCGTGCATGCAGGCTCGGCTGCGGTGGACACAGCATGTGATGAACATCTTCCAACATGCCTGCACCTTTCGTGGAGGCATTTGGCGAGGAGAGTAGGCAAACTGACCGTCAGACATCCGCTCGATAGTCTCAAGACCGGAAGGTGAGCAAGGTCTTTGCGGACTCCACTCAAATCTCAAGCCGCGGTTTGAGCGGATTGGCCACTTGGCAAAACCTGTGTGTCTGACGGGCGGCATCGTCTTTTGAACTAGGCTGCGACGACGCAGCCCATGACATTGGTGACTCAGTGGTTTGTAAGCGTTTTGTTGCAGCGGCACCTCTCGAGAGCAATAATCCCGGTGAGTCTCGTACACTCACCCAGCTGAGGCGAAATCCTGGAATCGCACGGCGTCCAAAAGGACAGAATGCCCATGAACGAGATGCTGATGGCCGCACGTGCGATGAGGGCACACGGCGTGAAAATGAGTCACTGTGCGGAGCAGATCTCCGAGCACTTCCTGGATCTCCTCCGGAAAGCTGAAGCGAACTCAGTCCCCGCGGGCGCCGAGCCTGGTCCCGGCGAGGCCGAGGCCGGCGAGGCCGGCGAGGCGGTGAAGGCCGGATGCGAGGAGCATCCGGCGGCCCAGGCGCCGGAGTCCGGAGGGGCCCAGGAGGGGCCTGGGGATGTCGCTTCTGTCGCTCCGGTCTGTGGGCAGGTTTTGTGCGCCTGCTGCAGGAAACCCCAGAGTCTGACGACGCACATGCCCTGCTTCTTGCATCTCCCCGGGAGCTGTTAGCCAAGGAGCGCATGCCGCAACAGTAGAACATGTGCTGTGGCCAGCGAGACCCCATCAACTAACCACAGGCTGCAGCCAGCAGCCTCGTAACAACCAGGTGCAGCGGTTCGTGCTTCTTCTTCTGGCTGAGCTTCAGCGGCAGGGGCTCGCTTCAGCAGAGCTGAAGAGTGCAGCAGTGCGCATCTGCAGAGAGGAAGCTGGCAACCTCGAAACGAGGTGCGATGTAGTCAAAGCGTCCTTTCCCAGACATGATTCTGATTGGAGGGATTTGGCCCTTGGTATTTGCAACGGTTCAACGAAGGTTGTCGTCTGTATGCAGTCTGCAGGGAGGATG